ATGCTTAAATATGGTGAAACTGTGGTCTGCATAAATGGACTTAGGCCACTAAGAGCAAAGAGACGTGCTTGCGCCGCTTCAATCCGGTATCAAAAACTGAAATCGCACCTATGCCTTCGTCGGCAATTTAGGCTATGCCATTTTTCACTTATAACTCTTGAAATCTTGACTTATCGTTTTTCTAAAGTAACCGGGATCAAGATCGCATAGTTTCAATCAACTGGCTCGATTATCTGATGTGATTCGTCGCCGCAAGCTTCTGTCTCTAACCCTCAAGCAGTCACGTGACAAAAAGTTACTTAAGCACTCGCGTTCGGTCATATTGACCCATTACTTTACCCTTAAGTATATAAAAGTCTTTTCTTAAGAACATATCACCGATATAGATTAACGTCAGAAAATATGGATTGATGGAAAAGAACAAGAACAAAACACTGTACATACTTTCGACGACTGAAAGGAAATGCCAAACTAATTGTGAGATTACATTTGGCCTTCGTTCCTCTGTTAAGTCTTTATGTATCAAGTTTAGTCGACTACTAACGGCTTAATCCCATTGTCCTATCCGACCAGAGGTGATTAACTGGGCACTCGTAGCCCCTTGTGTATCTCTTTGACACTATCTAAGTCGGTCTCTCATCCGTCAGTTGTATGATGTGTTCTACCCGTCGTGGATTTATTTATTTTGAAACTGATAACAATTCATAATTAATAATGTCTTAGAGGATTCGTAATATTGAGGCTACTGCATTAAGCATAAAGGATTAAACGTTGAGACTGTTACACTACAGATATGCAATTAGAAAAGTTTAGGTTCGTTGAAGGGTCAGCCGTTTTTTCCTTTCCGTGCAGCAGTGGGCATTTCCTGCTATGATTGGCTTCGTCATTTCAACACGTTTTCTCTGAGTTTGTACCTGTTTCGTTCTTATCTTCTTCTAAGAGATCCTAAGTCCACTAAACAACAAACAGTTAAAATTAAAAACACCAAGTTGATGGCGCCAGAAAAACGCACCACGAGAGGAAAGGCCACAAAGTTCATGCTGAGTGACGTCAGCGAGGCAGAGAAGTTTTGAAACTCCTAAACACAAAAAACTTTTCGTTCCGCCGCTCCGAGTGACGCGTGACTCAGAAGTGCATGAAGTGAGTCAGGAACGGAGTCAGGCAAAAGCCAGGTCGCGCTTGTAAGTTCGATGCTGACGCCATGCTTTTGCACTCTCGCCTAGCGCTTAGTTTGATTTCGATTATCATATTACAAGTTTATGCAAACTGTCGGTGAAGTTACTTTGTCCCTGGTTTCAGATTTCTGCAATCACGCACATTAACGGTTGGACGATCACGTGCTCGAAGTTTTCAGAGCGGTGGTAATTAAATTTTCTTATTGCTCATTTTATTATCTATGCAACCTCACTCATTAGCGCTGTCTAATACTTGATCATTTATCATTTAGAACTAAGCTGATAACCGCTATCAGTGGCTTGTCCTACCTCCCAGTGAAAGAAAAATACCCTTGCAGTCTCAAACTAACGGTTTGTTTTGTAAGTAGGTGTTTTTTAGCATTGGCACATTTTCTCTGAGCTTAATTCGTTGTAAGGCACCCGTCAGCCTAGCTCTCATACAAGGAACGTATTCCACTTTCGAACGCAGACCCATCTGCGTGGCGTTTCTCCATATTGCTTCCTTGGCCCATCATCGAACCCATTGACATTTTCTACCTATCCACTTTGTGCATGTCAACCTCTTAATTTTCTGATGTACATACAAGCTAAGCGCAATGTAAGCGACTGTGTTACCGTAATATGATAAATTTTCGTTTTGCCAATATCAGTGAATGATCGGTGATACGCCTTCTATAGAGGTGCAAGAAGTGGTATCGGTGTGGCAGCCCCCCTCCGCCTCAACCTCGCCACTAATTCTTAGCTGCAACGATGCCTGCCTTAGATGGGGCCTCTGAGTGTTTCTGCAGACAGCAGCAAAAATTTCAGATGCCTTCTTAACAGATCAACATTTGATAATTCTATGTTAACTTACTTTGTGGAAGCCATCCATACGAGGCTGTAACGTCGCTATGAGCACAATCCTGGAATGGAGGGCTATGATTTACTACCCATTGCGGCTCAGACACATGAACTAAATGTCGGAAGAAAGATTGCATTTATACAGAAAATTAAATCCCGATCTTATGGATTTTCTATCATATTGCTTGTTTTAATACCGGGTTTAAGCGGCGTAAACACCGTCCCCTGGCTTCTAGTGGCATGGGAGACCGTTCAAGCAGGCCAGACCATGGCTCCATGGTATCTGAACGTCTGCAGTGCACAGATGCAAAACCGCATCAGTAGGCAAGGTCGAACAAGGGTCTATTCGGACACCTACAAATATGCCATGATCCGTAGGCATATTTATGCAGTACCATGAAGCCGTG